CATTGATTTCCTAGGCTAACGTCATTATTGGACTGTACTTCGTAAACTTTGTGTTTCAGTAATACATATAATAAACATAACTTCGAACTTATAGTTGTCATAATGATTTGGATCCGAAAATGCTCAGGAAACTTGTTAGTTGACAGAAAAATTTATTTGTTCGATTGTTTTACTAAGTCGCACTGACGGCGTGGGTCTTCATGTCAATTGTTATTGAGTACCGATTAAACAGCTCAATAACGATTTAATTAAGGGTGACTATTACAAAACATATATTATCTTTTAGTGTTTGTTTTAGATTAGTTATATCACGGCTGTCCAAAGTACGGCCTGTTTATGCGTTTGTGACCCGCGACATGTTTTTAATCTACTACAATTGTGTACATTTTCTTTTGGTTTTCTGGTAAAAGTACATTATTTTATTTTTATGTTATACCAAATAAATGAATTTAAATTGATAAATTAATGAAACTAAAATTGACATTATAGCCGTATTTTTATTTTTATTTATGAACATATGTATTAATCTCTGCGACCCTCCAATTTGTATAGCGATTTGTATTGGCTCGCGATCCCATCTGGTCTGGACAGCTCTGAATTATATTATTAAAAGCTACTTACTTATTCCTATATTCCCATTGATAAAACGAACAGGTTTTTATTTATCATCGAGTAATTCTACTGTATCTACGAGTATTAAAACTTATGCGGGATTGGTCGACTGCAATGGATCATTGTAGACGTGGTAAACTAGTGACTTTAGCTGTTCTAGAAACAGTAATCAAAACTAAAGTTTTATAAAAGTACTAATGGCCAATTCGATATATATATAATATATTTTATTTTAATACTAATTGAAAGTAATAACCACATGAGTCCTTATAACTCCCAATACGTATTATTTGTTTTATTGGCTTAGCTCTGTTTTTAATAAAAATACTTTTACTGAGGCAATAACAAGAATGTACTTTCCCAAAATCAATGCACGTTCGAGTGTTTTTTTTTTCATTTTAAATTAATATACAATACAGTTTTGAATTGTTTAATTTTTTTTTACTTCTTCCTTCCCAGTTTATATATTTTTTTGCTTAAAACGAAATTCATCAAATGTGTAAATTTATTCATGAAAATTTGATATTCGCCTTTTTCCGTATGGTAACACTGCGATGTGCAATTTCTTCTTGATCAGTGATAAATCTGTGTAAGCTTTGGAGCCAATTTAAAATGCAAAAAATAGAAAATCTCGAAATGTATCTGAATTTCGTGGGAGCCCTTTTGTGTGTCAGTCCATTGATTTGCAATTGGCTTAGCACACCTACAGCACTACAGATGAAGTGGAGAGATAATTAATCTTATTTCTCCACTCTAGTTTAGTTAGTACGTTATTTTTCGATTTAATTCGGTTAAAAATTTTATTTCATTTTATTTTACTTATTTATATTTTTGTTAATTTATTTTAAATTATTTTGGACAGCCAAGGAATAAACGGTTGGTAGTCACAGAATTTTAATAAAATACCAATTATCTTGGTAAGTTGAAATTGCTCCATTCAAAAATCTTTATTGTATAAATTGCCTAAAGCAATCAAAACCGAAGTGTGATTGTTTTGGTTCACTGCGCTAGATATTCATAACTATCCGTTGGTAACTATCCTCTATGGTAACTACTTGTGATTTGTATCTTGCTCAGAATAGCAGCTAAACTACTCACAACATTCACGTAAAGATTGCAGTACTGTTATCTGAACAGCTAAACAAATATTAATATATTTAATATATTTAGTTAGTTAGTTGAGGTGCAGGGAGGAACGGATCCTCCTCAATTAGTTACGAGACAGGCGTTTTGAATCCACACATCCTCGTAATAATGAGCAGAAAAAAGGTCAAGCTAGAACGAGTCAGAGACATTTTTAAAGTTAAGAGTTTGGCCAATGTTAATGCTGGAGATATCGCCGAATGTGTCAAAGAAGGAAACCCCCAGAAACTAGAACAAATAGTTATTGTTTTAACAGTTTATTCTGAAAATGAAATAGTTGTACTATAAAAAGTTATATGCTTTTGTGCTAAGGATATATGTGGTACTAATTTCAGTTTTTAGGCATATTCCATTTCGAGGAACCATACTTGAATCGAACCCGATTGTTTGGGACATTCATATGTCCAGATTTTAATCCAAAAAATAATAATTTAGCAAAAATCAAAGTGTGCTCAGTTATTTAACATTCAAGATGCACAAATTTTTTGATTACAAAAAATTTTAAAATATCAACACTAACAGAAGATTTAGCTATAAGAGTTTTTAATAGATTTGGGATTTAAGAGCGATCTATTATACAATGTACTTAGTTTAGTTGTTTTTGAATTAATCCTTTGAATGTTCTGCATTGACACAAAGCTGTCATTGTATAAGATTTTTAAACCTGATTTTTTTACTCTCAAAGTTAAAATATCCGCAACCTAATTTCAATCTTCAACTTTTCTGCAAACGAGACATTTAATTAAATTAAAAGAAAACATCCATAGAGAGAAAATACAGGTATCTTCACTGCATGCACAAAGTAGAGTCACCAAATTGCATATATTGCGGAGCTGAGGACGATACCGTAGAACACACATTCTTCGAGTGCAATAAGTGGTTGTCCGAACGAGAAGCACTAGAAGCGCAGGTTGGTATTTTCTCTCTAAGGACGGTGACAGAAAAAATGACCGAAAACAAAACAAATTGGATACTAAACAAATTGGAAGAAAAAGATCCTGAGATTGAAAAAAGTAGACCTTGACAGAAAGCAGCGGGAGTAAGCAGATGTATTACACCAAGATGAAAGGCAAGGTTAATCAGCAGCAGCAAGAGCGTGGTCTGAACGCAAGTCACACCGATGGAAGTTTTAAATGACTAATAGGGACCCTATCTCGAAGTAATACTAACGTAGTCTCGGGATAGGACAAGGTCTCTAGGAATGAACTGGTTAAATTTATTTTGAAAGTTGATACTCATAAAAAATATATGATGGTGTATATTTGATATATTTTTTTAAGGTCTCTATCTTTACTGTCAACACTTGGAAATTTTAGACTATGCATTCATGCAAAAGTAGCCGGAATTAATCAATAGAAATGTTATAGTCTTCCAGAAAGATAATTCGGGACCCTACACAAGCTTAATACTTAGCTTGACAAAAAAGTTTTTATAGATTAAACGGAATATATTACCACACCCACTATATTTTCCACTCTTAATAGGTGCAGGTTTTCACTAATATTAGTCTCTGGAAAAATTTTTGGGCCTCGAAATTTTAAACGCAAATGAAGATGTTATTTGAATGATTAGAGGGTTTTACGTATTATGAGTATGGAATCGTACTACTGCTAGAAATGTGTCAAGGGAGTTGCGTAAAATTGAGGTATATATAATTTATTTAAATATGTAAACACTGGTTTTCGATAAAAAAAAACTACAAGCCAAAAAATCTAATATTTATTAAATCATAAATAAATGAGAATTAATAAACGAATACATATAAAAATGCATGTATACGGGTAGTATGTTATATTAATTTGATTTTGGAAATAAGATACAAAGGTGTGTTTGCCTTCTTCTAATAAATCTATTAACCAAAACAATATTATCGAAAAATGTTTAATGGATTTTAATGCAATTCTTTGAAATCTATCAAAAACTATATTTAATGCGAAGTGATACATTTGATTGTTTATGAAATGAACGTGTGTGGATATGGACTCGTACGTAAGGAACTATAATTTATTGTTTTCGAAATATAAACAATATTAACTATTTAATTGGCTGGCTTAAAGCCAATTTTCAGGCAATTTAAAAGTCAATTGAAATCCGTTTTTGGTAATTTAACCGAATTACTTTGAAAATATTGTATTTTCCTGTGTCTAAGTATCTGAGCATTTCGAGAACATTTTTTACTGGTTTTAATTTATTTCTAATCAATCCGTTCAAATATAATTGCCTTCAAATTGACAACACCCGCCAAACTTAAAAGAGTTTTAAACGATTTTAAAATTTGTTATTTTTGTAAATAATTTTATAATTTTTGGTCTACCCGTAGACCGGGAAGGCTGGCTAAGAGTGAGGAAGAGGAAGGCGCATGCGTTCGCGTATTTTGCGCTTAGTAATTTAGAAACAATTTGCTTACAGTTGCTTACAGAGCTCGTATTATCCGCTTGTGCATTAGTAACTCGAATTCTGTGAATGTTGCAATGCAGCAAATGTTGGTACCGCAAATGTTGCACGAGTAAGAGGTGCACGCAACTTTTTATTTATTGCATCTGCGACCGTTGATTGAAGTGACTTGTAGTAAAAATTGACAACTGACTGAATTTTTCAATTTTACCGATTTTTTCTG